GTATTAAAAAAAACATATTAAAATAAACTGAATGATCACTCAATAGATCAACTACTCTTTTAAAGGAAAACAGCAGAGAGTTGTCAAATATTCGAATAATATAGGTTTTTCTTGCAATAGTGATATATTTGAACTAATACAACTTTTTTAGTATATTTCCTGTTCTGTTTTATTGAGTAAATTAAATTATATTTTATTTTTCCTGGACTTATTTAGATTCTGAAAACTTCTTTTTCTTCGTGTTTAGTATCAAGAATAGATCGGATTCAAACTGACCAAACGCGGGAATCAACTGCCAGATTCTCTCCCCAGTATCTTTTTCACACGTTCACTGACTGCCGGTGTTTGTGCTAATTGTGTCACACGCTCACTGACTGCCGGTGTTTGTGCCAATTCGTGTCTCGGTGTGTTAACGTTTGTTTTCTCTCGGTTTTCTTGATCTTTGTTGAAACTGGTTCAACCATGGAAGATAAAGAATACGTTGAAGTGTCAGTCAAGATAGCAGAAAAAGAACTGCCTGATTTGAAGAAATTTGTTGAAGAGCGTTATGGAGAGATTAAAGTAATGGAAAATGCGGTGAATGGTACCAATGGTACGCAGTGTTGTTTGTTTATTTCACTCATGAATGTTATGTGTTTTGAGATGTTTTTAAGCCTCCTCCATTATAGTTTAAACTGCAAAAATTTAGATTTAGACCTTGTGGAACTGACACTGAATTTTAGGAGCGATTTAAGACAAGAATGGTCTTAACCTTTTCCACACAGGAAAAAGCACGTGTAATGAAGCGACAGAAGCTACCGGCTACAAACGCTCAAACGCAAGTCGTGGAGATTACAGACGAAGCAGATCAAGAAGCCGGTGCAGCTAAGAAGAATACGGAAGATGTCATTCTTTTACCGAGGGAAATCGCTTCAAAAGTTTCGAGATGGCTCCTCACAAAAGGGGTTTCCCAAACATTCTTTGCTAAAAGGGTAGTGAATAGGTCCCAAGGTTCTTTCTCAGACTACATCACAAAAGCGCCAAACGAGCTGCCAAAAACACATGGCCGGGCAATATGGGTAACCTTGAACGCTTTTCTAAACGACCCCAAACAGCAAGCCGCATTGATCGATGAATACAAGAAAGGTAAATATCTTTTATAGTTGTTGTATTTACATTCTTTTATAATAAAGTGAAATATCATTGCTCGTCACCTTCTTGGTGACAATATTTATAGCATGACACCTTTACCACCGCTGACGGTTAGGCTCGACCACTGTAAGTCATTGAATGACAAAAGGTTAGTATAGGGTTTCTTGACTAAATTAATTTTTGCTTTAAATTATTTTAGTGTCAAAATCACGGAGGAAAGAAATTGATGAAAGTGACAAGCCTCCAAAAAGGCGGTTAAACGATACAGCGACCTCGAATTATCCACGCTAGATTCCGTCTTCAAGTCATCGAACGGATTGCCTGAAAGAAGCGTACTAGAGCGAACGGCCAAGTTACTAAAACTAGAAGAGCGACAGGTAAGCCTAGAATATTTCTTTGCAACAAATTGGTAAACGATCAAATCAAACTGAAAACTTGATCAATTCGTTTGCTAAACTTTACAGCTGAGTTGTCGATTTGACATCTTTGTTTAGCCTTACCTTTAGGTTTACTTGACAAAACATTATTGTCGTCGTCCAAATACCATCCAGCTTTTTTATTTTGTGTGACTCTTCCTTGCTATGGCGCTTCACCAGCCACATCGTTTTAGCGCTATCTCCATAGGTTAAAGTCAAGCCACATGAATTACAAGTAATCGAGTTCTTGAAATCACTGTCGGATGTCAGGGGCCGAAAATCACGTTTCTGTAATTCTTGGTTCACCTGATGTATGTCTTTATGAGGGGCACTGTCGGTAACTTCGAAAAAGATATATGCTTAAAATAATGCATGAGAAAAAGGAAATATAATGCGCCATAGCACCGATCTGCTTGTACAAGAGACTAATCTCGACTAATGCATGGTTCCACGTGGACACAGTAGGAGTTAAGTTCATGCGGTATTCTTGCGTGCGGGCTCGTTGCAATTACAAAATGAGTTGCGTTGGTGCTAGGAATAGACGCTGAATAGAAAGTATCCAGGTAGCCTTCATGGAGAGTTGACCAAACATTTATTTACTTATTTATTTCATTTATATTTTGTGACTTCCAGGTGAGCGTATGGTTTAACAATCATCGCAGGAAACAAAAGCAGGGAACTTACAAGCCGGGGCAGTATACGCAGAATCAGGGGAAGCAGTGACGATTCGGGAGCTACTCCACAGTGACATGTGACCAGTGACTTGTTTTATCTGGTTTTATTTAGTTTGTAACCTGGTACACGTGAATTATGAAAAAAATAAAGTAATTTTAACTGATTTCATATAGAAAACCACAAACTTGTCTGTTTATTTTGTGCTATCGTCCATCGCATCCATCAACCCTGTTGGAATAAGGAATAACACTGAGCATTAATAAGAGGATTAATTGTACAGTGTGCTGTTATCGCACTGCGAATGAAGTGGGTTCGTGGTCTGGGAAGTTTTCTTGTTCACGTGTTCACTCTTAATCACGTGACCTTTCACCATCATCTGCTATCACATACCACGCGTACTACCCACAAACCTTAAACCGAAACCTGAAATCCAATGTTTATCCGCTGATTAACTCACCAAAGCCGATTTATGTTAAATATCAGCCATAGAACGCACAGAAAGCAACATTCAGCTTATGCAGAAATGAAATTCATTCCAAGATTGACTCAATTCAACATGGTTTTTGTTGTAGCAGTACGCCACGTTTACCAGCCGTAAACAATTCCACTGGTGTTCTTACGCCGCTTACACAGTGTGCTGTCGTTTTCGTCCGAGCTACGAGTCTAAAAACTCAGAAAAATTGCTTCAAATGCGAATGAGTTATCTGGTTATCACAGATTATCGCCAAGACTGGAAGAGGTTTTGACGTTCAGTTTTCGGTAAGAAAGAAAAAAGTTCCTTGATTCTAAATTGACTTGATATAATTTTTTTTTCAATGTCCTCAATCGACCGGATAAATCGATAAAATCGATAATCTCGGTCTAAGTCTTGTGATTATCGATTTCTATCGATTATTTTAGCTAATCGATTAACAATTATCGAGTATTATCGAGTAATATCGAGTAATCGATTAGTTTTCGATGATCGATTTCTATCGATTTGTAACGCCCTGCTTATTCACGTAGAATTCCATCAACCATTTGCAACAACGACTACAGTTATGTCTACAGTAAACAAAAAGGAACCAATAAATGGTTTTCCATGCCATCTTGAAGTTTCCGTGTTCATATATCGGAACGATCTATAATTTCACTTTGATCTCCAGCTTCATTATTTGAGTAAAAGGTACGTACGAGTACGTGGTTACCATCAGAAGACACATTACGAAGCGGGAACATACCTTTACCTTTCACAATCCAGCTGACTTATCGTTCTCGGACATGACTGGAAGCACGTTTCATGTGTCAACAACAAAATAAATGAACAATCCGCGTTGAAAATAACGTCAATTTCGGATCCAAAATACTTGTGCTCTTGCTAATGAAAGTCCGCGTGAATTTGAACTCACCAAACGGAACTACATTTCACACTTTTCCATTGGTTCAAAAGGCGCACGTGATGACGCAATTCACTTAGTGGGGAGACTGGCAACCAGTATAGCTCAAACATGGCGGATGATTTTGCTCGATGATGAGCAAGTTGAAAAAAGCGGTCGTTTTCAGAGCTAAATAAAATATTCCAACGCTTTTGAGGTATAAGCAGCGAGAGGAAAATTTCGTATTGTTTTTTCAAGAAGCGATGAACTTTTATTAGGCAAAGCCGCGATGAAAAACGTGTTGTGGACATGTTTGGAAAGCTCAGGTACGAGAACTGGCACTTTGAATAAGCTTTCAGTATGGTGCTTGTTGTTGATAATTTTTTTTTTAAAGATTTAAGTCGCAATAAATGTTGTATATAGATGCTGGTTAATGTCAAGAAATCCTTGTTGTTATAGGCAATTAAAGAAATGATTACTAAAATTTTTTACGCTTTTTATTACCTTTGAACACTTATCGTTTTTCCTAAAAAATAAGCCAGTGTTTCCAAGTTAACAATGACTTGGAATTATTGAGAATTCCTAGGAATTCCCACAAATTCTCATTGGTGTTTTAGCAATTCCCAATAATTCCCATAAGTTCCAAAGACAGTTTCCTTCAAACTTGGAATTATTGGGAATTCCTAGGAATTCCCAAAAATTCCCACTGGTGTTTTAACCCATTCCCAAGTATTCCCAAATATTCCAAGGTTTTTAATCTTTGCTCATTTGCATGTCTTGGAATAAATTGGAATTCCTAGGAATTCCCAGAACTCTGGGAATTCATTTCGCAAGGGTCGCCTATGAAGGACTCAGCATCTGGAAGTCCTCTTTCTTAAGGCGACTATGCAGGCTCTTCTGTGCGTCTTTGATCAGGTAATTCCTGCTTTCCTCTAGCTCTTGAGCTGTAAGTGGTCCTTGACTTACTTCAGCCTCCTCTTGTTTCCTCCTAGCAAGCAATCTTTTCTTCAATCTGAGCACCCATGCTATCCCATGCACTAACTTCTTCCAATTTGAATACGTGTCGACGTTAATGACACTTGGCGTAACTACCACTGCTTCTACTTCCTTTGTTCTCCTACGCTCCCTTTCAACTTCTTCTGCGTTTGCTTCTGGTTCGGCTTGGGGCCACTGCTCTTTTGGCCAGCGTAAGAACTCTGGACCTGTTTGCCATCTTTCTGACAATTTTGAAACTGCCATGCCTCGTGAAACTTTGTTTGCTACGTTTTGTTCACCAGGAATATGTTTTCATTGGGCCGGATCACTGTTGCTTTGGATTTCTCCACGCCGGGCTGGCGCGTGCCGTGAAGTGGAACTTTGTCGCCCGCTGTTGTTTGAGATTGTACAGCGGAAATGCGAATAAAAGTAAAAAGCAGTTTTCAAAATGGCGGCTGAAAATAGCATTTTGAATGCTATTGTGGCTCTTCGTCCTTTACGTGATGAAGTCGATAATTTCTTTTTGTTTGAAGAAGAAGTAAAAACAGCTCTCACTTCAATTTTTGAAAACAACCGTGTGGGCCAAAGCTCTTTGAAACGAGCTAAAATGTCACAAATTCCAGCGACAGCACTCCTGGAAGGAGAAGTGAAGATGTGGCTTAAGATGCTCCATAGGCGCCTCAGTCCAAGAATGAAGGCCCGAAGCGCTTGGACTGTAGAGTTTAAAAGGGCGATGTCCTCGGAAATATTTTCCTTAATTTTACAGATGGTTAAAAAGGCCCGTTCCGCTTATGGTGTTGTGCACAACGAAGAAAAACACACAGATATGATCTACTATAACAGAGAGAACAGACTGATTCGAGATTTTGCCCAGTTATCTGAGCTAAGCAGAGACTCAGTCCGAGAATTCCTTATTAAGCAGAGTAAAAGAACAAGAAAAGGAACTTCAAAAGTTTCCATAACTTCTGAAACGCCTTTCACTATCACATTTATTAAGAGGACACAGCAAGTGGTGGTGAAAGCCCACTACAAATTCACTAATGAATTTGGCTACACGTTTTCGTAAGCATATAAGTAAGGGATGCACCATTAGAAATGTGAAGGGGGGGGTAGGACTTTCTGGAAAGGCATGTTATTTTTTTCACAACCAGCAGGAGTGCAGGATTTTTTTTTCAACCTTCAAACCCTTGCACGATTTTTTTTTTCCAAAATGACTATGCCCTCTTTTGGTCTTGTTTTACTAGACTGTTTCAACCGCGCAAATGTTTTTTGTTGTAGTGTTCCAACAGAACACGTTTGTTTTAAGTATATTTTTTTCATACTAATTGAGATTTTCTATTGAAATTTGGCGTGTGAAAACCCTGTTCAGGGTTCGCAGCCAATCAGAATGGCGAAACGACTTTCACACACGTGAAAAAAAAGCGTTTCGTCCAGTCACAGATGTTTAGTACATAATGTAATAGGACACCTAAACACGTGCAGTGTTAGACATGGACTTTTTCGCATTGTATGTCAGATAAATCTCTCTCGCTTTCTGGATCTCACTCGCAAAGCCTTGCTCGTTCAATTTCTGATGCGAACCAACTCGTGCGTGTAAATACCAATACGCCGCGCTGCCCATGAAGTAATCTATACGTTCAAACGTCCGAACTGAGTTCAGTGGCAGTTGAAACAGCTACACAAGCAGATCAAACGGTGTTTTACCCAAAGTAAACAAAAAATTCCAACCAACCAAAAAGAGTTAATACAAATAGAACATAGCCTTTAAAATAGTAATTTGTGAAATGTATGTTGTGTCCTCGCTTTGAATGAGAAGTTTGTACATTTCTAGGAAATAATAGTTGAACAGTCCCCTTTTATTGTACATGTACATTTTCCGTTCCAAGTCTCTGCACATGAAAAACTTGAACATTGATATTTGGTGGAGCAAATGTTTAATATACCGTACACAATGCTTCAAACAAGCTCTGAGGCAGGAGAGGGGGAAGGGTGCACAGAGGCTACGTATACATGTATATAAAAATAAATATATTTTCTTGAATAAAATGGGACTGTTCACAGGACATGGAACTTCCAACCTGAGTATAAAGAATCTCCAGGGAAAGGCTCACAGCAGCGAAATCTTGACATACACTGAATGTGAAATATAGAAGCCAGCAGGAGTGGATGGTTTGTTGACACACTTCTTGAGGCCATGACCTTGGCATTGGCGCTCCCACATTCCATCATAGTAGTGCCATTGATCTTGAATGGTTACAGCACCCTGTAGTGGTTTCCATTCCAAAATGTGAGACCAAAGAGGGAATAACTACAGGTTTTGAAAGTAAAAATAGTTTATTTCATTGGAAATATGACTTGTGAGTCTCATATGGCTATTACAAGGAAATGGCCAACAATGTCCGTCACAACCTCAGAAACATACCTGTCACTTGAAACTTGAATTATCTGTGGAAGGTGAGTGACATCAGTTATGGTGCCCTGCCTGGCAAAATATGTCAAGTGACAACAGTAGGAATGGGGATTTCCTCTTACAAATGCCCTCCTTGTGTTGCTCCTCAAGCCACCACAATATGCTTTCGGGGTCTGACTAAAATATGACGTAATAGTTGACAATTAGTATACATGTAATTGTAGCTGGAAAGTGTGCAATCACTGTACATAAGAAGCATTGGAAAAGCAGGGAAAAAAAAGAACCAGGTAAAGTTTATAAAACAAGTAACGTGACAGATATGTACATGTAAAAATGAAAGACATACATGAGTTGGCCTGTGCCTGGATCTTGCACATAGCAGTTGGAAATGAAGTAGTTTGCTCCAGGGGGAACATGATGCATCGTAAGTCCACACGTGGACTGTTGCTGGTCTGTGTTCATCCACTGCCGCAATGATTCTTCAAGAAATGCAGGTACTGGAAATCCTACATGGCTATCGATACAACAATAAAAAACGCGGATATTTCTCACTCAATTTGAATGTATATGTATGTATACTCTGGGTAATAAAAAACAGAAATAAAATATTACATTAATGGATGCCCAAAAGAAAATGAATTTTCTGGTTTGGTTCAAGATGTAATATATTAATACATACCCACACACACATTCACACACAAGCACAAAGTAAATTTCGTAAGCATGATGGTGAAGTGATTACTTTTGCCTTGAAAATCTTGATTTAATATCAAATTAAGATCAGAGAATTTACTTTAAATAACATACCTCAAAGCTATTGCATTAGCATGACACTGCTTCACTCTAACAGGGCAGGCTGAAGAGTCACATGTACTGATGAAGGTTGTCTGAGAAGATGAATAAAGTCTAGACACAAAGAGGTCTTCCTCATTTCCCCACAGGTCTATTAGTGGTGTTGTTTGAAAGCGTCCTGGAAACAGCTTGAGCCACTCTAATTTCCCCTCCACAAAATTACCTCTGTCAAATAACTTGTAAATCTTAATCAGGTAACTTGCATACACTTCTACTGAGCTGGAAATTTCCTGAAAAGCCTTTCTGTGGTTTTTCATTAATGTATAAAAATAGTAAGAAAATTGTCAATCGGGCAGGTGTTCACCAGGGTGATTTGTCCTATGTATGGCAAATTTATCTTTCCACCCCAAGGAGGAACATTCAGCATGTTTGAGGCAAATTCATTCTTCAGTGAATCTGGTAATGTGACGACCACTGTATTAGTTAATTCTTGACTTTTATTGTTAGAAGTGCGTGGGACTGATGGGCTTCCAACTGAAGCTCCTGATATTGGAGGACCAGTAGATGCATAGTAGTGCTTCTTGATCGCTTCAATCTTTTTTCTCTTTTGTGAACCCCTTCTTCTCGCATTGTGATTTTGGTAGCTTCAAGTTCTTGATCAGATAGAGGTCAAGCTGTGAAACGTACAGGCCAGTTAGTTGACTTGTCTGTATTAGTTTCTCCCAATCAAAGTCATCATATGTACGAGCCTTCTCGGCTGCCCTCGTACTAGCATTGGTTTTCTTTACAATAAATGCCTTGACCATGGCGTTGTGGCGTCGTTTAATTTCCTTCACCACTGATGTCCTAAGGTCTTCCCCAGTATATGTCTGAACAAAGTAGTCAACATTTGATAACATTTTTCCAAGCACATCATTCCTATCTACTACGGTAACAGAAAGGGATTCTTGTGGATGTACTTCAGCCATTTGTAAATCTGGTGTGCCATAGGATTGCATATAGTGGTTTAACTGTGCTCGAGGGCAGAACTCATCTATTTTTCTGGTAGCGGCATTCCTCAGCTCATCTTTTTGTTGAGGTCAAATTTCGCTGTTAATTCTCCTGATGAAATTTGCTGAGGAAAGGCATAGTGAAATTCGCCTCCAGTGAAGGAGTAGTCTGGAACTGGTGGTTGCACTCGAGTCACGGGGACACCTCTAAAGCCATTTGTCAAAAGAGATGGATTTTCATACCTCGCATGATATTCGCAGACCTTGCCACTATTCCGACAGCCATTTCTGATCCCCTCAAACCCATTATCAAACAGGAAATAATGGTCACGAAAGAAGTCCCTGACAAACTTGTAGTACTCCTTCCCAGCACACTTCTCAAGTACAGTTTCGAACTCGCACTTGCACATTTGATCATAAACTTTTCGTCAAAAAAAAAAAACTGCAAGTGGCTTTCATAACAAGGGGTGCTTGCATGAATAGATGTGCCCATAGAACTTTTTCCATCAAAGCGATTCGTAATGACTCGTGCACATTCTATTGCAGTGTCTCTTTCCTTTTCAGCTTGCAGGTTTTTAGCTGTTCATTGCTGATATCCTTTAGTTTGATTCTTCCCTGATCATCACATAAAGGCAGAAAGGGGACAGGTATGGACCTCCCATCTCCAAGGCATTCATTTAGAGAACGCATTACCTTTTCAGCTATATGTGATGCAGAGTCATTGGGGCGTAATGGAATCTGCTCTGTAAATCAAGGCAATTTATCATGAAGTACTCTGCCATTCGAAGTTGTGTCATTTGCTCATGACTCGCAACTCCCGGGCCAGCATCAGAGGTCTGAATATCAAATGGCCTATAAAAACAGATACATTATAAAACTCAAGCCAATCCTTTTTTATATAGGAGAGAAAAGAATCAAACAACAGACGAAATGCTATAAAACAAAAATGAAATGCATAATAAATCTAACAGGTCAGTGGCACATAATATTAATGCAACACAGTCAAACTGCTTTAAAACGGCCATGCCTGATACTGAATGTACAGGCCAATGTTAAAAGTGGTCATTGTAGGAACAGCTCTTGGTTTCAAAGTAGCAGTTTACAAGCTGGTGGGTTGGGACAAAAATAAAGTCCGCTGCACAGAGTTGGCTGTTTATATCATACAATGTATTGTATGGAGTTTCAGTGACAAAATTGTTCACAATATGTTCAGTTATTTCAAATTTACAATATTAATTCACTTCTAACCTGTGATTTGGAAGACCATTTTCCTCCAGTCTGTGTCGAATCCCCCTGCACAGTTCGCAGGCACTTTCATAGTAACTACTGATATCACAGTAGTCCTGTCCCTTGTTATCCGAGAGCATTGCTTAAACAGAACAGGGATTATGTCAAATGGAATTAATTTATCAACTATTAAAGAGCCTTTGATCTATAGAACCAAACCAGTGCATCAAGTTTATACATGTTTATGCTATTATGATTTTTTTTTTTTTAACTTGTAGGGCACACATTTACTGTATACATATACAGGGCTTTGAATCAGGTGAACATTACACGCTATAAAGTCAGTCACTATAAAATGGTATAGTGCCGTTTTCATATTATAGCAGAATGACGCAATGGGAATTCAAACAGAAAAGGTTTTAAAAACATGTTTCAGAATGTTGTATCATAAAAATCAGGTGACCATTCAAAATCAAATAACTTTAAATCCTCTATTAAGCCCCCCTCTCACCTCCTATCTTCTCCAGTTGTTCTTTCAGCAGCTCCAAATCTTTTGTTAATTTGCCAGTCAAGGGATATCTTTCGTAGGCTGCAACAGATGTCATGCATATATCAAGTCTTTTAAGAAGGACTGTAACTCGGAGCTGT